ATGTTCAATGTGTATTCGAATTTTTTTGGTTCAATCTTTGTGGGTGTATTTCAGCAAAATCGCTTCGTTTTTATTGGGGTTTATTTGATCATTATTTGTTTTCGATTTTTTGGCTTTATTTGGTCGATTGGTTTTCGATTATTTTGGGGTTTATTTGATCGATTTGTTTTCGATTTTTTGACTTTATTTGGTCGATTGGCTTTCGATTGTTTTGGGGTTTATTTGATTGATTTGTTTTCGATTTTTTTGTCTTTATTTGTTCAATTGGTTTTCGATTATTTTAGGCATCATCCAATATTCTTTTTTTAGTCAATCATAATTAGAAAAATATTTGATATCTTAGAAAAACAGGTCATTGGCTGCAAATTAGGGTATGAAACTTGGTATTCAAATACTTTAATGTTCCTGCTTCTTTATTTGATTGTCATTTTGAATAGAATTGTGCTAATTAATCATCTAATGATTCACTCCGCTTATTGTGCTTCCCATCCTTAAGTATGTAGATATTTGATTATTTATTTCCCATTAAAAGGTGCTTACACTGTTACACATGTTATGTAAAGTATTTGGCTTGTCAAATTTGGATATCTTTTCTGTTGATCTTTGGGTCAAAGTCTCTTATGAGATCCCTTGATTTTAGATATATATTTGATGCACAGAGTCTATTACTTGATTCTTTTTATATCTGGCTGCGTTTGATCTAGCTCCCTTGTCTGACTGGTGTCCATTATGAATTGCTTGATTTAGACCATTTAGTTGAATATTTATTCAAATAATTTTTCTGGGGAATATTGCTTGATTTAGTTCAATATTTATTCAAATTTCAGAATGAAGAGAAAACATACTCCAAATGAAATGCAAAACATTACTAGCTTCTTTGCTAAAAAAAATCCTACTCCAACTTCTCTTCCACATCCAACACAAAATGAACAAACTATAACTCCACCTCAACAAAGTGAGCAACTTTCATCTCCATCTCATTATTCAACTCAAAATTCCCCTCAAAATGAACAAGGCCAATGTTCTCCTAATGCCCCAATCTTTGGAGAAAGATTAAGTGAACATGAATTTGCTAATCTTCCACAAGATCCAGGAAAGAGGAGAAAAATGAGTCAATTTCATAAAGATGATAGAGATTTAGTGAGAAGAATTTACATTCAAAGAAAGCCTTGTCAGCCCAAAGACTTTACATTTCCTCAAACTTCTATTTTTGGCAAAAATCGTCGCTTTTGTGCTAAGTGGTTTGATACTTGGACTTGGCTTGAGTATAGTGTGGAAAAGGATGCTGCCTATTGTTTCCCTTGTTATCTATTCAAGGATGAAAATGCCTTTGGAGGTGATGCTTTTGTTAGTGATGGTTTCAAATCATGGAATCGATCGGATTTAATAAGAAAACATGTCGGTAAACACTTGAGTGCACATAATAATGCTGTTTTAGCTATGGATTTGTTCAAGAAACAAAATTCAAGCATCACACAAGCCTTAACAAAACAAACCGCTGAGAGTACAAATGCATATAGGACGCGACTTGAAGCTTCAATTGAATCTATCCAATGGCTTTTACTCCAAGGGTTGCCTTTCCGTGGTCATGATGAAAAAGAAAGTTCCTTAAGAAGAGGTAACTTTCTTTCACTTTTATCCCTTATTTCCAAAGGTAATCCTGAATATTCTAAAGTTGTTTTCAAAAATGCTCCTAGTAATTGTCAACTTACTTCTCCTAAAGTCCAAAAAGATATCATAAATGCATGTGCAAAAGAGACCACTAAAGCAATGCTTGAAGATATTGATGGTGGTTTATTTTCTATCCTTGCTGATGAGTCCGCTGATGTTTCTGACAAGGAACAATTGGCTCTTTGTTTGAGATATGTTAATAGAAAGGGAGAAGTGTGTGAGCGTTTACTTGGTATTGTGCATGTTGTAAACACTGCTTCTTTGACTCTCAAAACTGCTATTGAATCCTTATTAATGGAGCATTCTTTGTCTTTCTCTCAAGTACGGGGTCAGGGTTATGATGGGGCAAGTAATATGCAAGGTTCTATTAATGGCCTTAGGACTCTTATAGAGAATGAGTGTAAAGAAGCTTATTTTGTCCACTGCTTTGCTCACCAACTTCAATTAACTCAAGTTGCACTTGCTAAAAAGAATTCAGATTGTGCTTGGTTATTTGTTGATGTACTTGCACCTCTCTTGAATTTTGTGGGGGGTTCACCAAAAAGGAAAGAGTTTCTTCGTGAAAATCAAGCTCAAAGAGTGGTGGATGCATTGTCTCTAGGTGAACTTGAAACGGGTTCAGGTTTAAATCAAGAACGTGGATTAGGTAGACCTTGTGATACTCGTTGGGGATCTCACTTCAAGACAATCTTGAATGTACTTGATTTATTCCCTGTAATCCTTGGTTCTCTTGAGGATATTGCAAAAGTATCTGATACAATAGATTCTAATAGAGCTCAAACACTTACAAATCTTCTGATGTCCTTTGATTTTGTGTTCGTGGCACACTTGATGGTTAGTATATTTGCGATAACAAATGCTTTGAATGTGGCCTTACAAAAGCACGATCAAGACATTGTGAATGCAATGGCCATGGTTAATGTAACCAAGACTAATTTGCAAAAAATGAGAGATGAAGGATGGGATTCTCATATGGAAAAGGTAATTTCTTTTATTGGTGACTATGACATTGCAGTTCCAGATATGGAGGCTAAATATGTTGTTCCCGGGAGGAGGTTGTTTAGAGGTAAATGCCCACAAGTGTCCAATCTACATCATTTTCGAGTTGAAGTTTTTTTTTGGTGTCATTGATCTTCAATTGCAAGAACTTGAAAATCGATTTCCCGAAATAACTAAAGAACTACTTGTGTGTATGTCTTGTTTGAGTCCTGTGGATCGTTTTTCTAAGTTTGATAAGGAAAAATTGATTAAGCTTGCAAAATTCTATCCTAATGAATTTCCAAGTTCAGAATTGATAGTCTTTGGTCATACACTTGATAGTTACATTTGTTCTGTTAGAGGAGATGAAAGGTTTTGGAATTTGAAGGGTCTTAGTGATCTTTCAATCAAATTGGTTGAAACGGGATTGTCTGAAACTCATGATAGGGTCTATTTACTTTTGAAATTGGTGTTGCTTCTTCCTGTCGCAACGACAAGTGTGGAAAGAGTATTTTCTGGCATGAAGCAAGTGAAAGACAAACTACGAAATAGCATGGGAGATCAAATGTTGAATGATTGTTTAATTACTTATTTGGAGAATGATTTGTTTTTGAATGTTAGCATGGAAGATATCATGAATCGATATCAAAACATGAAAACTCGTCGAGAACTATTTTAATAAGTTTGCATTACTATTTAGTTGTCTTTTGTAGTATTATATGAACATTTGGTTGTATTTTGTACTGTTTGAATATTTGGATGTATTTTTTAGTACTATTATTTGGTTGTTTGGTAAAAATTTTTTTTTAACATATTTGATTATCGATTGTGACTCACCAGTCGGAAAATCCTGGGTCCGCCACTGCGTATACTGATAATGGACCTCTTTATTACTGCTGCCATTGCATTCTCCAGACAATATAGAATCCAATACAGTTCTTGGTCATATATTTAAAATGAAAACATCTATTCATTCAGAAACATAAAAAAGCAACCATACATCAAACAAAAAACAACTAGCTGGTATCTAAGAGCATAACACCTATATGTCTTCACATCAATTCTGATTTCAAAAATCACGGATAAATCTCTATATATACTGGTAGCAGAAGAAAAACAACTACTTTAAATTGGGGACCTTATGAAAATTTTGAAAGTCCACAATACATGCTTGTAATTGACAAGACTTACAACAGCTATTCAATATAAACTAAACGCTTAACTAATGACCAAATACCAATATAAACTATACAATTAACTAATTACCAATGTAAACTATACGTTTAACTAATTACCAATATAAACTATACAATTAACTAATTATCAATATAAAATTATAAACCATACGATTAACTAATACCAATATAAACTATACGATTAACGAAGAACATTAATGACTATGTATTGAAACAGAGCAGTCATCATATCGATCATGTCATACGTTGTAGAACCAATACAATCATATCAAGTAGTTGAAGCAACACAATCACATGAGAAAAGGAGAGAGAAAATACCTCAAAATCAAGGGTACAATCCTTTCCAATAGAATTCCTAACATCCAATTCATCATCATCACCACCCACATCCTCATTACACTGATTCAACACCATGACCTCGCTAGAACCCTCGCCGCCATTGTTATCGAGCTCGGTAAGATCCTCTTTGAGCTCCATACCACAACCCAAATCATTAAGGTTAAAATTGGAGCTAGGGTTTTGGTGAGATGAAACTGATTTACCCTTTGCCGCGAAGAAGAATTTATCGACGTTGGTGGGAAGAAAAGCGTCGTTAACAGCGGCGTTTTCGTGGTGTTCTTGGGTGGGGATGGAAGCGTCGGATTGTGGAGGCCATTGACGGTTTTGAATTTCATCGTCAGTGAGACACCAAAGAGAGGAAGTTAGGGTTAGGGAAGATGAAGAAGGAGGAGAAGAAGAAGAGGAGAGAGAACCAAATGTTTTGTCAACACGAACTCTGAAACTGTCCTCCATTGGAATAATTTGAAGCTTTTTTTTTGCTGAATTACTGAGGTTTATTTGCAGAGAGCTCCTTATTGGAGTACGGAATACTGTTTAATCTAATACGGAGTACGAAGTATGAAGTAATAATGGCTATGACTTGTGAATTATGATGATACGAATTTATCTTAACCCATTCAAAAGTGGAAACATTCAAAAATTGGTCAACATCCTTGGGGAATAGTGATATGAGTCTAAAATCCATGATTTTTACCGTACAATTGAGCAAAATTGGCGAAATTTTGCTGGCTTGAAATTCGTTCATTTCATTGCAATTTGGTTTCATTACTTTTTCCCCTTTTCCCTCATCTCCACTCATTCTACTTTTACATTTCATTTTCTTTTCTCACTCCTCCCTATCTTTCATTCCTTTCTCCTCCATTAAGATGCGTACTCCATTGATTTTTCATTTCATTTCGTAATCTGATTTTTCCATTGAAGCATAATCTGAGTTTTCTCTCCTCCATTGAAACTGAGGTATGGTTATTGAATTTGCCCAATTTGGTTTGTTTTTGGGTATATAAAAATTATAATTCTGAATTTTTTGGGGCTAAAATGGTTGCTCCGATTTTAGATTAATGGATTCATGAGTGAATGGATGCATTGAAGCGACTTTGAGGTAAGTGCCTGCTATTATTATTATTATTATATATATTTTTTTAATCGTACATTTTCAATTTCACTATGTTGGGTTTGAGTTTTTTCATATTTTTTTTTTTGTCCGATTGGGTGAGTTCATGAGTTGCGATAACTTTTGTTTAAAATGTTGGATCAAGGGGTTTTGGTTTTATAGCAGGATACATCGGGTTTTTGTTTTCAGACCCATGGCTTCATAATCAGTTCACTCAAGTTGAGTTTTGGCATTGAAATCTCAGGTTTAATTTGAATCATTTTTATTATTATTTTTTTAATTTTTTTTGCGTGTGTTTTACGGATTTAAAGTTTGTGCTATTGTTGGTTTGTTGTGGTTTTTGTTGTTTGAATGTAGTACTATACGTTTAGGAGAGAGAGTGGACCTCTTACTCTCTCCGATTTGTCATCGAATTTGTCGAACCTTAAGGTTGTTGGAGATAATTTAACTGAATAACAGAGACTCATTTATGAGGAGTAAGAATGATGAAGTTGATTTTGAGCTCTTTCTTAGGTTTAGTGACTGATTTGTTTTGAGCTCTTTCTTAGGTTTAGAGAGATTGGGAAAATGTGATGGTGATGGTGCGAGAGAAATATGGGAGCAAGAGATATGGACACTGGAGGAGGTCAATTATAGTATGAGGAAGCAATAAACAATATTAGAAGACTTTTTTGCAAAACCATAAAAGACTTGAGTGATAGAAAGAGTTGGGGGGAAGGGAAGCAAGTGATATGGAGTTTATTTTTGATAAATGTGCTTAATGAGAAGTGGTAGTATAGTTTTAGATTTACATAAAAAAAATGGATATTAATCTATTCTCACTTGAGCGAGTATGTTCTTAGATTCACAACAATTGGATAGGGTTCCTCTATGGTAGATTAATTATTCAACTATTGGTTATAGGTGTGAAAGAGATATGTTTAGGGTAGCTTATGAGAAGTGTAGTGACAACGAGAAAGAGCTCATGTAATAGTTTTTGAGAAAAAGCTTGTAAGGGCTTGAGACAAGTATTACTTGTAAATAAAATAAATTTTCCACCATTAATATGGGAAATTGAGAGGGAGAGGGGGTAAGAAAAAGAGTAGGAGGAGCTGAGGGAGAATTGGGGAGTACCTTGAGAGAACATTTTAAAAGTAAACGAGGAAGAGAGACATAACTATTTTAGGATCCTTTGATTTTTCTCATAACCATGAAAGACGAGTAAGTAAAGGAGAGGCAAGGAGGAAATATTATAATTCCAGGAGCACGTAATTTAAACAAATAACTAAGGAAGGTATGAGTTTAGTGTTTTATGACTAATTTATAGTTGTAATAGGAGAGAGTTAGTGATGCTTGAGTTAGGAGGAGCCGAGGGAGAATTGGGAAGTACCTTAAGAGACCATTTTTAATGTAAACGAGGAAGAGAGACATAACTCTAATAGGATCCTTTTGATTTTCTCATAGATTTTCTCATAACCATGAAAGGCGAGTGAGTAAAGGAGGGACAAGGAGGAAATATTATAATTCCAAGAGCACATAATTTAATCAAATAACTAAGGCAGATATGAGCTTAGTGTGTTATGACTAATTTATATTTGTAATAGGAGAGAGTTAGTGATGCTTGAGTTAGTTCAGATCTCTTGCTTATATAGTCAATAGTATTGACAATTAGTGACCTGTGTTTAAATTTGGGTGAAAATTTGCTATTAGTTTTATTATCTCTTGTTTAGCTGAGGTTGGGGGTACTGTTTTACAAAACGGGAATTATATATGTCAATGAATAAGTGAAATGTTGAAGTTTGAATCAATTTGATTGTTGTATTTGTAGGATTTTGGATAGGTATATGCAAATAACATGTAAATCCTTTAAGCAAAGTTGCTTGAATCTGTCAGCTAGCCCTGGTGGCCCTGATACAACTGAGCTTTAGCAACTCTGATCTTCCCTTCCTCGACAGTAAGCTATGCTTTACGCACCTCCTTTGGCCGCTGTACTAGCCATTTGGAAAAGCTCTCGATATTGAACTTTCAAGGTCGAATATGCAAACTATTCTGTGCATACTCAAATGCCTGATAACCAGCCAATTTTTTATCCTGAGAAGTATAGTTACCTTATCACATCATTGAACTCTTTTTTTAGCAAATACTAATTTTTAATTAGCTGGTTATTTATGGTTAATTTTTGATACATTGTGCAGGAAGGGAGATTTTGTTTGCAGTAATCAAGCCTAATCAATGTGTTCCTCTAAGTTAAATATCGAGTGTTACAGTTTTATCCGTGTACAAGAGTAGCTGGGTACATCCTTGACACACACGAGTCTAGAAGTTTGGGTTAACATTCGAGGTAGTCCTTTGCTTTGCTACTCAAAAAATGATATTTATTCTATAAACTTTAGTGTGCTCCTAAACTTACTTCATGATCTTTTAAATTAAAAAAGATAGGAAAAAATAACAATAAAAAAGGGTATAAAAAACGTAGGTAATTGCAACTGACAAAATGCTAAAAATCTAACATGATAAGGACCATTGCCATTGAATCAGCACAAATTTGTAATGAGGTATAAATGCTAATTAAAATAAGATATTGGACCAAATTGGCTTGTGATTGAGGAAATGACTTTTGGGATTAAGGCTTTGATTGATTGATTGATTGACATGTGTACAAATGAGTGAGCTTAGTGAGATTGGCTAATATTTAAGTAAAATGCAATTGGAAATTAAATATCTTACCATGATCAACTTGCAAATTTGTTGTTACTTATTACCAAATTGCCAATCATGCTGCTATAATGTGTAGTTCCTATTGATTTTTTTTTTTTTTATTGATTCTTACCTTTGCTAGGGCGGCTAAGATACTTGTTCACCAAGTGCTTGGTGAAATTGCAAAACTTCTAAAAAAAGAAAGGTTGAGTCTAATTAGAGACAAATTTGTCAAGGATGAGGTGGATGGTGATATTTTGATAGAAAGTAGATGTCCCTGTTCTTGTTTTTTGGAATTCTCTTGAGACATATCTTCTTGTTGTCAACGATTTGGTTAGCTTTTCTATTTCCCCTTTACTCATGTTTTTCTGAATCGATATTGATAATAATTTCGCATAAATTGTGTGGAAATTTGAGTGTCTGAATTTGATCATTGCAATTCTAATAATTTTTCTTTTTAAGCATTGTGATCTTTAGTTTTTGAGCTGGTTGATATTGTTAAGCTCAACTGTGATATAGATGTTGCATACTACTGTAGTATCATTTTGCTCAACCCGTGTAAAATCTACCTTGAAACTTGTCTGTCTTAAGCGTAGAAACACTTCCAATTTTGATATACTTCTTGTGTTGAGTTAAGGTATGGTACTAATAATTAATGTGTGCTGTTGTTTGAGCCCTATCTTGACGCCGATATTTCTCCAACTGTAAATTTGTTTAGTTCAGGTCAGTTGATATGCCTTATCTATGTCGTCCATCCATCCAAGATATCTTTTAAATTCACATATACTTCGTATATATTTGTCCAACCAATTTGGTCAAAGCATATAATTTTAGGAGCTATGAAAATTCCAAGAGAATATTATGCTGGTGTTTAAAATTCTTGCTCTTTCTCAAGGGGAATGGATGTCAATATATGGTCTATGGTGTCATGTATATGATATAAAATGCCAAGACTTTCTTGCTCATATACATGATGGTATTGTCTTAATTCAAATTGTGTAATGGATAAAGTTGGAAGTAGTAACACTTAGTTTATCAACGTGATTTGAATCTGTCTACAAGTATACTTTAATGGAAATGTTTCTAACTACTTTTATGAGCTTCTCTGCTTCTTGCTACCGGCTGATTATACACTATTTGTAAGCCGGGACCTCTGAAATGGTCTTATTTCTAAGTAGCAACATTTCTATCATAGGGTTCATATGTTCTATAATATTAATGGCTTTACTGTGTTAACTGTATGGCAAATGAGCCAAACTTAGGTAATCTATCTGATGTTTGCCTGTTGCCTTTTGGCTCTTTTTTAATGTCTCCGTGCATGCGACTTTTAAGGTAACTTTAAATGAGGCTAGTGCTTTAAAACTGCTCGAATTTTTTAAGGAGTACTTTTCTTTTGACAACATAACGTCAATGATTTTCATTGTTTGACTTCACTCTTCAGTGTTGGTGACATTTTAGAAGCTTTTTTATAACCTGATTGCTTATCTATTATAGAACTATATCAAGTATGTGATGTGATTCACACTTGAACTATGATGACTTTTTGCTATGCATCTACCGTTTAACTGATCAATAAATTTAAATAAGATTAATGCAGTTATCAATTAGTGATTTTGTTTGGTATTGATAGTATTGGGGCAATGACTGTAGTATGTTATGTTAATATTTGCAAAGTAGTTTTTGCACCATTCGATAGTGTTGAGCAATTATGTTGGGATTTATGCATTGTCCACATGACTGTTGAATCTAGCATGAACTTTCATATGCTTTCCGAGGTAAATATGAAGTGATATCTGCTATATTTTGCAAAGCCATTTCAAAAGTGCTATCTGCATTATCCAAATGACTTGAATCAAGCATGAACTTTCATATGTTATAAACTTTGCAAGCTTATAAAAGGAGATGGAAAGAGATAAAAAGATCACTTTTAAGAGACCATATCAAGAGTGTGCTTGGGGTAAGGAATATAAAACCCTTCAAAAGAGTTACTAAAGAAGGTCAATGGTGGGGTTTTGGGAAAATCGTTCAAACCGTAAAAATAGAGTTATAGGGAGGGAGAGAAAGGGGACAATAAGATTGGGAAAAATCATTCAAACCCTGAAATACAGTTTTAAGGAGGGAGAAAGAGGGGACAATAAGGTTGGGGGAAATTATTCAAACCGTAAAAATAGAGTTATAGGGAGGGAGGAAGAGGAATCAATAAGGTTGGGGGGGGGGATAAAAAGAGAATATGAGACAAGAAAGAGGGACAAATACGAGAGAGAGTAATGAGCCTTTAGATTTGAAGTAATTTTTGATGGGTAATTTGAAAGCAAGGAGCCAAGGAGGCCGAATGAGATTAATGAGGCTACCAAGACGGACGAGAAGAGGAAAGCTTAGATTGAGGTTAAGGTTGCTGCTGCTGCTAGGTTGTTGCAGAAAATGTCTGAGTAGGCATGAAAGAAGGGAAAGGCGGTGGTAGTGGTAAAATGTAGAGTAGTTTGGTTTCTAAGACGGGTGTTAGGAAGGTGGTTATAGGGGAAACTATGGGAGTTTTACAAAGAACTCTGGCTATTTCTGAGAGAAAGTGAGAGTTCTAAAAGGATTTCTAACTTTCTAAGGGTCACACGACATTTTTATTTCTATCAATAAGACTCTAAACTAATCTGCATATTCAATTGTCAGTGTATGTGCAATTGTGCACTAACATGTTTTTCATTTTCAAGCTTACAGCAATGATATTTCTTTCTTTTAAATTAAGTGTGATTAGAAATATTGTGAGATTTGTGTTTTACCTCACCTGAAATTAGTATTTTATTTATTTATTTATTTATTTATTTTTTGTAAATTTTTATTGGTTAATACAAGTATATATATATGTTGCTTGATATATATATATATATATATATATATATATATATATATATATATATATATATATATATATATATATATATATATATATATATATATATATATATATATATATATATTTGTGATGATAGGTTTGGCTTGGGTATTTCTAATGATGATGGGTACTGTATATAAGTAGAAAGTGATTGATAGATTATAGTTGATATTAGTTCATAGATTCTGTCAAAGATGTCATTGTTTGAGTAGCTTCTTGTATACATCAACGAAATTACATTCCTCTTATAGATTCAAATTTATATTATTGTACATTTGTTTTACTTTATTGGTTGTGGTGTCATGGTGCAGGCTTATTGCATTATTAGGCAAATCAGGACTTATCTAAGTAGTCAGGCCTTAGTAATTTAAGCTTATTGAAGCAAATTTAGAGCTCTTTGAAGCAGTTTCTCTTATGGGAATTTGTGTAGGTAATGTTGGGTTTGGTTGCACTATTTAGTGTCTGAATCATAGTATTGTGGTGCTTGTACATTATGCACCTAGGTTCATTATATTAGACTTTAGTTTTGGTCCAATTACTAAATTGGAGTTCCTTTACTTTTGTGCAGGTTGATACATGTGGTTAAAAAAAAAATCTCTTAATATTACGTTCAGAATGATCCTCTTTTAGAAGCGAAAACTACTTGTGGGTCTCTTTTGTATGAACTTCAGGTATGATACAAGCTAATTGCACTTCAGCTCTTCAAGGTTAGGATGTTATTTTTATCTTGTTATCATCGGTGATTAACTCTGTTCTCTATGCTTACTATTTTATCTAGATGATATGGGATAAAATGGGCAAGCCAAAAACAACTATGATAAAATGTTACTTGAGGTTGAACAAGAATGCATAGAAGTAGACACGAGAAAAGTTGATGCAGCTAACTGCTCTAGAACTTAGCTACATCTGGCTATATATTGATGATTCAGAGGCAAAACTTGCAGCCATTTATTCTGACATATGTAATAGTTTTTGTAATTAATTTGTAAACTAGGTAGGATTAGTAACCTTTACTCCTTTTAAGAATACTTGATTAGGTTTCTAATTTTATAATGCCCTGTGCGATTCCTATGACTTGTGATGTGTCTAAGATACATTTTTTTTCAAAGCAGTTTGCATGCTACTTTTGTCAATATGATAATTAAGCAAATGTCAATTATAATAACCCTATTAGATTGTGGTAAACACAATTCAATTTGTATACTGAAAACTTGCTAAAAATAATACAACCTTTAGTCCATTATTTTCTAATAATACAATATTTTGATTATTTTGTAATAATACAACCTTTAGAGGTGTTTATTTTAATCAAGATAAAATTGAATTTACACTGAGTTTTGAAGTGGGAGAAGGGGAGGGGATATTCCACCCTTCTTCGTCCCCACCATCAAAAACTCATCCCCTCTCTTTTCCTAACTTCAAAGTCTTTTTTTTTTCAATACATGTTTATTTACCAAAATCTGAGAATAACCATTGCACCTGATAATCTTTACTAAGTAATGATAAGCAATATTAGTTCGTGATTTTAAGACCAAACAATACTAACTCCGCAAAATATTAAATCTCTTCAAAAAAAAAAAAAAAAACAATATTAAAAATGACAACACCATGTGCTAACTAAAGCAGTGTTAGTTTGTAAACTTAGCAATAATTACAACAAGCTTTAAGCATATTAATCAAAAGCTTACAAACAATTGCCGCATACTCCGTTAATCACACCAATCATGTTAATAAAAGAAAATACTAGGAAATATATTTATTAAATAATACGTAGTATAAATGAATAAAAATAAAGACCACACTTAATTATATCTAATTAAGCCCAACTAGTAAGATGAAAAAGTTATAGGATGAAAAATTAATGGGGAATTTTAAATAATCGTCTTATCATATCATATAACTAATATATAAAGTGAAACTTTAATATATAAAGCCAAATTTTTATCCAGACGACGAGACAGCGACACTTGGCATTCTAAATTTTCGCCAAGTGTCGTGCCACGTAGGATATATAGAGTTATATAAAATTCAATTTGTAGGATAAAAAATAGGTAGTTTAGAATTTTATTTTCAATCAAATTTGGATAGAATTTTAGGATAAAATTGTTAATTTAGAGTTTTATTTTTGATAAAATACCAATATTTCATATGCACAAATTGAATTATAATTTTATTCAAAAAAAAATTAGATTATAACTCTCATAAATTATCATATAAATTTATTTTTTGTATCATAATATTTTTTTGGAGCGAAGGAATTAGTTCAAAATGTACCACATCCATGGTTTATAATATATTCTAATCAATTAAAATAATATATTACACAATCTAATATAATTTTATTATTGTGTGTAAACCTGTCAATCAGGTCGGGTCACGAGTCATTTTAGACAGGGTTAAAAAATATTTTTCACCAATATTATTATTATTTGTCATTACATATCTACTAGTTTAAATCGTTACAAAAACACATCAATTCCTAACTAATTTTGTATCAATGATATGTTTTAAAACTTGACATATAGATTAAAATATATCTTTAAATTTAATAAACAACCCGGGCATCGCACGGGTACAAAACTAGTAATAATTAAGAGTAATAAAGTACTTCAGTTATTTCCTCTCCTTTCATCTCCTCTCCTCTCCTCCTCTCTTCTAGGGTTTCTCCAAAATCTTGGCCGTTTAGGCCGGAAATAGTCTAATTTCTTCGGAAATTGGACTATTTTCGACCCTTTTCCTTTAATTTTATTTAGTTTTGCAATTTGAATTTTAATAAATCTATACAAGTAGTGTAGATATTTGTCCGTCTCCCTATGGTGGAGTCGTTAGTTTTCGTTAGTTAGTTGTTTGTTTTTGTTTAGGGTTTGTTTGTGTATTAGGGTTCATCAAAAAAGTAATCATCTTTTGCCCTATTGTCAGTTCTTTGGTAAAGATTTGTTCGGGATCGTAACGGTTGTCAAATTTTCAAATGCGTTCAGGCGAATCAGATGAGAATCATCCTTACGGCTACAACAAATCGTTAGACCGACTCTCCGAAAAGGCTGTATATTTCAGTGATGTGTGCGAGAGATGTACCACAGTGCAAGATCTTTTCAACGATCATAGCTATGATGAAGGAAAACCTAATTTGATTCAATTTTATGTATTTGTTAATTTAGATTTCATTTGTAGATACCGAATGGCTTTTTATTAATGAATTGACTTGTTTAAAAAAAAAAGTACTTCAGTTTTATTTCAAAAAAAAAAAAAGTACTTTATCGGTTTTGTAATAATGCAACACTTGACTATAATTTTTATCAATATATATATAAAAAATTATATTATCATGTAAAATACTCCGTTTTTTTAAAAGAATCATATAAAAAACTTTTTGATTAGTTACAAATATTTTTATTAGATTAAGTTTTTATACTTTATAATAATACTCTATCATTTCATAATAATTACAACACTAGTCTTTTCATCCGTTTTATAATAATTGCAATACTTCCTTATTTGATAAGAACGCATTATTATTTTATTATTTTTCTCTCCTACCAACTCCACTTACATTATTTTTATTTACTCCGTATTATTTTCTCTCTTATTAACAATTAAATATATCTCCATTACTCCACTATACTTTATATTGTAAAATTACTCTTTTGGTCCACACTCGATAATTTTCCTACAAATTTGTGCAAACCCTAATATTGCAATTATTATGAAACGGATGAAGTATATAATTACAAGTATTAATGATCAAAATTGTGGACCAGCATGTGTGCCGATGAAAGTGTTTCGATTATTATGAAACGGAGGGAGTATAGTTGATGGAGTTGTGTTTAATTGTTCATAGAAGAGAGAAATAATAATTTATATGTATATAAAAAAAGTAGTGTAAGATGTTTGGTCGGCGGTAAAAGACATGAGAAATTCCATTTCTTAGGAAATTTTCCGTTAAATATGGGTGTGTTGTTTGGTTGACATAAAATTATCAAATTGGGGAAAATGTCATTTTCAAGGGAAGTTTCATTCTCGTATAACATGAGAATTCACTTACCAAGCCCCCCTTGGTAGGTTACATTTCCGTGAATATTGTGAACTTTACTCGCATTATCTATTACATAATTTAATAGTCATGTTTTTGAACTTTTGACCACAACACTTCAAACTCTTACTCCCTCCGTTTTTAAATACTTGTTCCATTTCTATTTTTTGCACCATTCATTTGTCCTACTTTGTCTAATGTTTGTGATTTATACATAAGAAAAAATATAGTCTTGTGGGTACTTGTTGGAATCATCTCAATGAATATATTATTAATTTTCAATTGTTAGAATTTATACTTATTGATAATTAAAGATATTAGTGATCAAAGATTAACATCGGCATGCGTATCCAAGAGAAATGGAGCAAGTATTTAAAAATGGAGGGAGTAATCCTCAATTTCTGTCAACTTCACTTTTAGTTTTTAATTTTAAAATTTTAAAAAAAAACTACATCAATTTCTATTATAACTTTCTATAGCATCTTCATATTTTATAATTTCATACTAAACAAATTTAATAACTCCCATAATCATATATGCAGAAATAAATTAATATTACAGTGTATAGTAACATAAAATCATTTAGAGATATGATTAATATATCTCGTGCTTTAGTACGGGTACACTCTAGTAGAGTAGTAGTTAGCACTAATAATTTAGTCTCTTTCTTTCTCTATCCAAATTAGTTACTCCCTTCGTCCCCTTTTTATATTTCTGCTTTCCTTTTTGGGTATTCCAAAATTATATTCCTTCTTTCCTATTTTAGTAAGTATTTTTTTTCCCAAATATCCCAAATTATCCCCTCCTTTTCTGTTTTGTAATTAATGCTCACTCTTACTGTCCTATTCTCACTTTTATTTTCTTCCTAAAAAAATTCAGAATCCTTAGGTCTAGATTAAGGAACTTAAAAGTGTTTCTTCACTTTTTTTTTTTTTTTTTTTTTTTTTTTTTTTTTTTTTTTTGCAAAGGATTGATGACATGGCATCATTAAATATTAATATATCTTTGTTTCATTCAAAGACATCATTTAATGTTTTGTACTTCCCATTGTGTTTTTTTTATTGTTATTTGTTTTATTATTAGTTCCTTAATTCCCATGTAATTTTACAAACAGGAATGTAAAAAAGGGACGGAGGGAGTAATCTAAATACGTAGTAAAAAATAATCAAGCTAATCATAAAACATCGTAAATCAATTCATAGGAAATTTAAGTTCCTATATTATCAACCAAACAAACTTAGGTCAATTCCTAAGGAAATGGGTAAAGGAAATTATTTCCCATGAAATATAACTTCTTATGGGAACAAATTTTCCATGTTAACCAAACAATATCTAAGTGGGTTGGTAAGAGAGTTTTAGGAGAATATTAGTAGTGGATTATTACCAAATAAGGAAGTGTTGCAATTATTGTAAAAATGATGTAAAAGGAAAATGTTGCGATTATTACGAAACATGTAGTATAAGGTTTGTTCCTTAAATGACTATGAGACTACAACTTTACACTAATAAAAACTACTTTGAGTCATACTACTTGTCTCTGTCATCAATTCACTCAACCAAAACTTAAAAAATAAAAAATGGACACAGGGCAAACAATTAGGGATGGGGGAGTAGCTGCTTTGGCTTTGTTCACAAATGCATGCAGTATAGTGACTCCGATTGCACAGTGCTCACTAACCGTACAATTTTAAAAGTACAACCTTAAAGTTAAGTGCAAAATTGAATTATGTAAGTTGTTTTATGCTTTTAGCTAGCAAAAAAAATGAGTTGGATACAAATCCTCATCAATGTTCATGCCCTTATACTTGTCTTTTAAAATCATCGTGTAATGTCCAATAAAAATTACTATAAGAAAACTACTACGGAGTATAAAATAGGTTAAAAGTTACTTGAAAGGGCTAAAAAGTTAACCTAATGACTTGTTTTAATTGTCCTGTTGAGGAGATTTACAAGATTTCAATCTTACGGAGTTAGAAAGTTGGCATTACAATTTGTTTCAGATTGTCACATTAAGACTTAAAACATGTTTTGTTGACTATGTAGACTAGAGTTGAGAAGCGGATATCAATTTTTTTTTTTTTTTTTGACAAAGTGCAACTCAAAACAAACACAACCTAATACAAGTAACTAATTATCTGACGTCTCCTAGCTAAGGTAGCCAAATGATGAGCAGGGAGAACATCATCTCTAGTAACCTTCTGAACGACACAAACTTCAAATGAAGAAAGGATGTCCCGAAGTTGTTGCTGAATCCAAAAAGTAGAGACATCCTTCCACGGCCGATACAGAATAGAAACCGATAACATACAGTCAGTGTGAAGAAGGACACGAGAATAACCACGTTGGAGAGCCATCTTAAGACCAAAAAGACAAGCCTGAAGTTCTGCTTGAAAAGCCGAAAGCGCAAAACAGGCTCGAGCCGCACCTCCCAAACTGTTAGCTGTGTCTAGGGAATAAAAACACCAACCTATTCCTGCTCGACAATCCTTTGATTCCCAAGCACCATCCACAATAAGAGTTACAGTAGGAGAAATATTAGCATTTCCTACAAGATGAAAGGAACGCTCCTGAGAGCCAAAGCCAGGGGGAGGGGAGTTATCTAAGGGAGAGAACTCCCTAGCAACCTGGCTCCGAAGAGTCCAATCTTGAGCAATTTGAAAAACTACCTGAGGGGAGCAACTCGCTTGTCTGAATCGAATGTGATTTCGAAGAATCCAAATGGCCCAAGCAAAAGATAATAAAGAATCCAATCCATCCCAATTCTGTAAATTTATAACAGAGAAAAGTAAAGAACTGAACCACTGATGAAAGGAGCTATCGGAGTGTGGAAGCCGAATACCTAGAGGACCACAGAGCCAAATCCGACGAGTAAAAGAGCAGTGAAGGAATAAGTGCTCTATAGACTCAGGGGCCTGAAGACAAAAGGAACAAGACGGATCAACCGGGATACCCTTAATCCTTAAAATATCTGCTGTAGGAAGAGCGTTGCGGATATCAATTTATAAATCTTGTATGATGTAATTATAAGATCTAGGTTTTTCTTTCTGTTTTCAATTGAGTTACAACCTTAATATTTCAATCTCCATTAATACTGAAGTTAGAGAAAAATAAAAAAGGCACAAAGGAATACATTAGCAACAATAATAATTCGCGTAACAAGGACAGATTCACAGGACAATCAGCCATCGGAAGAGTAAATCTGCAACAAAATTTGCCTCCCCAGTTGCTTAATTTTTGTGACAGATGCACCACAAGAAACCTGCTAACATCATTCAAGGACTGCATTGACATACTATATATCATATACAGCAACACCCACAAATGGCTCAGAAAGGGAGTTCGTAGGCTAAAATATCAACTATTCTGTAGATATCAAAGCTTGTCGTAAATAAGCAGAAGCCTTCCTTCATCTGCTGGTAGCATTCTTGTGGTTCCTTCCTCAGGGTCTCGAAAGGCATAAATCTCCATTTACTGTAGTTTGAAAGCATTTTGATGTCACTCATGTCTGGAGAGAAAAAGATCGCCCATTAAAAGCAGTAAATAAATATCTTTTTCACCAGAATTTGCAATTTTTGAACGGTCCAACAAATTTCTGACCAGACTCCATCTACTTCCTTCACGCATATAGCTGCAGAATAAGCTATCTTGATCGCATCTTGACTTGGATTATTTGACCAGTCTCCCTCCCTTACACCACCTGTACCAAACAAAGGGCTAATTATAATACAACATTCCTTCTAACCAGAATAACACACTAAAGTGAGTCACTAAACCCCTGGGCATGAGTAGTTGATAGTATGCCATTCCTTGGCCCCGAAAATTTTCTAATCCTAAAGGAATCACATATGAAACAATCACGTCAATCAGTAAATCAAAGCAAATGCATATACATCTTTTTAAGATTTGACCTGAATTCTGAAAGAAATCAAAGATCATACGAAGTCAAGAGCTCAGTGAGCCAAGGCCAGATTGTTAAATATCAAAATGTCTGCAAAAAATACAGCAATTTCAAATGATTCTCAATTCTCAATGACTATAAATCTCTCTTTGTAGCTGCTTCCTTAAACAAAAAAAGCTATAAATCTATAATTATCAAAATGATCGAAACATGAAAAGCATAATAAGCATTCCGGCCATTCCCAGCACATAATCTCCTGCGTTAGCAAGACTAAACATAAAGTTGATACTTCAGAACCTAATCAAGCTAGCTGATATATTCCAAAAATCTAAATGTAATTTATGCAGATTCTGCTTAGATGATATATTTACTAGGGTTTGAACTCTCTTCCCCTCTCTCTAGCCTGGAAAGCATATTCAAACTTCACACTAATTATCAACGAGCTTGTCCCAGTTTATCAAATGGTAAACAAATTTTGTTTATCACTATGATAAACTTGTATTTTCTGAATCATCAACAACCCATGCCAAATACAAATATATAATCACTTCTAGAAGCATAGTATCAAAGTGACAAAGTAGGTATCATAATCATATTAAAAATTTAGAATGTAACATTGCCTTTATCATCTGATTGAAGTCTTTGTATGTCACACTTATTATGATTAACACTTTCCTCAGCTGTGAGAAAACAAAAATAGGTAAGAGTCATGTGTGATGTTCCACTCCTCAATAGAAATATAGCAATTTCCATTCTCACCCAACCGGAGGAAAGGATGGAGGACTTCTTTTTCTAATACAGCCATATAATATCTGTATTATTTCCATCTTTGCAGTGAGGGTTACATCTACTGTCCTGTTGCCTACACCTCTTTAGAGTTCTAAAAATGTAATTTGGAGTACAAGTATAGGTGAGCCTGGAATGGTAAAGGGTTACTTGCCTAGATTATTCTTTTAAAGATGAGAAGAGTAGTCTGTAATCATCATGTACAGGGGTCTTTACACCAACCCTGATGGAAGTTTTTTCCAATTTCCTGCAAACTCTATTTAACTAGTCCATTGATGAGAAGGGGCTAGGGAAAGCTTGAACCCAATTCCTACAGTGATGAATATAAGCGCGATTGAAATTCCCCGGGTTAAATTAAAATTATACTAATGCTTAGTTCTGTTCTCCTTGTCTACTTTTTTCAGGAAAAAATAATTCAGATAAGATAAGTTCCAATAAGGCCTAAATTAGGGCTAACTATGTTCAATTTATAATTAAAATAAGTTCTGCTAAGTTTAATCAAATTAAATAAGTGAAAAATAGGTAAATAGAACACACCATAAATAATTAAAGAAGCAAAAAATGGACTACTTACAGGCCCCTTTCAGAACGTTGATCATGTTACAAGTGATGCCTCTAACTACAAGGCGAAAAGTCTGCTTCATACCAACATATTTGGCATACTTCTGCACTAATCCCATAAAATAAAAAAGTGAGGTAGCTCTTAAGGTGAAGAAAAAAAAAGAGTAGAAAGCAAGAAGGCAAAAGAAATTAGCAAAAATATTTGGAGATATTCCATATGTTGGCTCATTCTATGTAATCCAAGGGAATTGTGCTTATCAATTAAAAAAAAAAAAAAAAAAAAATTGAAATTTCATATTTGATAAGAAGCATGTGCATTTGCTGACCATCCAATTAACACACGAGAACTAAACCCGTTAGACTAATTTTCGAAAAATGATAAATTGATTTTCTTCATATTATGGTAATTGCATCACATAGCATTTACTTTGAAAATCACTTCCACAACTTAAACGAAACTAATTCTCCTTTTCACCCAAAAAGAAACACAAGATGTCAAAGACAAAAAGTAATACACATAGTTACACAAGAGGCATGGAGGTCATAATGGTAGTAAAACTGCTGGCTGCATATAGCCACATGGCCAAACCAACTCATCCAAATACAAAAATCTCAAACATTAGATTCACATCATTAACAGGACTAATCACTGCATCGTGACTGTCAATCTCTTCACTGGAAGAAAAATAAAAACCAAAATTTCCAGCACAAATTATTTTTAAATTGATGGAGATGAAATGGAGGTTTGACAGGTAAGATAGGATTGAGAAGCTCACCATAAAGATAAATGGAAGCTCACCATACAAATATCGATGGAAGCTCACTATAATGATATTGATTATAACATTTCTTATTTCCCCCGACACAATTTAAACAAGAGACCAGTTTCATGCATGTGAACCAAACTATTTGCAACAAAGGCCAAGAGAAACTTATGGAGAAATTATAAAAATAAGGTGTACATTTCAGAAGTTCAGAATCTTGCAATTTGTCTTTCCTTTTTGATGCACAGCCTAACTAACCATCTGGAAGAACCACTAAATGTTCTCTTCTGAAATTGAGATACTGTAATATTCAACACTGTATTAGACATTATTTCCAAAACCATGATGTACAAGTTGTCAAAAAAGAAAAGACTTAACCTGTTCTCAATGTAAATTTGCTTCACAGACATCATAGCCATACTCTTATAGTTCCTTTTTCTTGGAAACTCATTATACTGCAACAAAAATCATTTCAGATTGGAGTAGTTCATTATTCTAACAAATTCACTGGGAAAAATACTCCATAGTCAGTAATAGTATTAGTTCCAAATGAAACACATTCTCAGTTAAAGCCAAACCCAACAGTAGTATTAGTGATAAACTGATAACCATCTTAACAACACCAATAGCAATGGAAAAAGAAGACAAATGCTCTATAACACCCCAAAGTAAAAATGAGGAAGGGAGAAAACCTTAGCTTTCATAAGTATTTGGAGGGGGGGGGGGTATTTATTCTCCACAGGGAAGTCTGAAAAAAGCCGTTAAATCTAACACGAAGAAGTGAGTAACTAGAATTTTCAAAGGTTTTTTCCACATACCTTATGTGAGACAAATAATTTGGCAATTGAGAATAATAACATTTAATCTTGTTACATTGTCAACCAGGATATTTGACCACAAAATGCAGTAGTGTTGAGCTAAAGAAGTGTTTTCTATCCTTAGACATCAACAAAATATCCTGAACAACAAATCGATTTCTCAAGATCTTTACAATCCTCTACAATTGTGCATAACTAAAACGATTCAATATACTTCTCAAATGTAATTTGCCAGCAACAGACAAACTATGATATCCTTATTATATTTTTTTTAACAGTTCGGGATAAAGCACAAGTTTAATTCTCTGCTGCCCAAATTCCCATGCACCCCTCTCCCCTTCCCTCCCCCCCCCCCCCCCAAAAAAAAAAAGGTATACTCCCTCTGCCACCCTTGAATAGACCACGTGTGGTTAGAGGTCATCTGTGACAAAATTGGCTAGGTGTACCACAATATCAGTTAATTGCCCTTAATAATTTCAACAATTATTGAGAATAAGCAAATGATTTATGATAAAACGCATCAAATTCTCTTTTTTTGTAAGAAAAGTATCGGAAATTTCATAAATTATTAGTGCATATGATGAGTGGCCTATTATTTTGGGACATACCAAAATAGATATGTTGTCTATTAAAGAGCAACGAGGGAGAATAATATAGGTTGGAAACCTAATGTCTTCAAGCTTACAATCACTTAGAAGGGCTCAGAATATGCTAATTCAAGATTACACTGTTGGCAGTGAAACAGAGGTCTAACAATCAAGAATCTCATCTAAGCAAGCATAGTTGGAGATTTAGACAAGATTACAGCTTACAACCTATTGAAAAGTTCTAGCTCTAAACCACCTGCATCAAGAAAACATAAAACATAGCCAAATTCAAGAATTCTATGACAACAAATCTAAAACTATCATTGGTGAATGCAGTGAATCAAACTAATTTTTTCTAACTTTGATTTCTTTTAGGATGATAAGAACAAGGCTTAAGGGACTTAATTGTAATATAGGCAATAATCAATGTAAATTCAACCTGAATATATATTTTTTTTTACTTAATTGTACTCACCAATAATCACCAATAATCGCCACAAGAACAATGCCCATCTTTGAAATGGTGGAATCGACTGGAGTCCCTCACTGTAATCTCCCTCCCAACTACCTTAGAGATGATCTTGATTGCAGCATGGCAATCGGAACAAGCCCTTAGATTCTTCATCACTAATATTGGTGAACCTTCAGGGGTGCTGATCAATGCAAATGCTATAGCTATGCGTTCACTATGGTATTTTAAACATTCTGCTCTAGTATCTTCATCCCAGTTATGAAGGGTACAACTAGTATCTGGTCTATAACCTTCCTCTTCCATTCTCATCGATAAGGACTCAATTTTCCTTCTGATGTCCTCCCATCTCGGATGAGACTTGTCATTTGCTGAGAAAATGTGCATCTTGTGGTTGATTTCCACCCAGCTATAAGCAGGTGGCTTCTTAAGTCCTCGTTCTCTCATTGCTTTCTTCACCACAGCAACTTTATCCCACTGACCAGCTTCCGCGTAGATATTTGACATGTTTACATAAGCAGAGGCATCTCTCACCTCCATCTTGAATAGCTGTTCTGCAACTTCTTTTGCTAGCTCTTGGTTTTTATGGATCCTACATGAGTTCAGAATGGATGAAAGCATAATTTCATCTGGGTTGAAGGGCATTTCAGACATCAGTTTCTTTGCTTGTCCAAAACGTCCACTTCGGCATAAGATATCAATCATAGTGACATAATGCTCTCTCCTAGGCTCCATATGGTACAATTTAGTGATACTGTTGAAATACCTTATTCCTTGATCAACAAGCCCACAATGGCTACAAGCAGTTAGGACATTAAGAAAACTTACCGGGTCTGGGCAAAGACCCTCTGAAACCATTTCCTCAAATAACCCAATGGTACCATAACCATCTCCATTCTGAGCATAGGCAGAGATCATGGCATTCCACGACACTATATTCCTTTCAGTCATCTCTTGGAAAGCGTTGATAGCATCTCTCATAGAACCACATTTTGAATACATATCAAGCAATGCACTTCCACAAAACACATTGGAAAAATATCCTGACCTATACACCAAAGAATGCAGCTGTCTTCCAAGCGAGAGTGAGGCTAAACTAGCAGTAGCTCTTAAAATACTGGAAAAAGTTGCTTGATCAGGGTTGACATGTTCCCTGCGCATTTTGATGAATACATCAAGCCCTTTTTCATGGTACCCCGTTTGTACAAGAGCAGATATCACTGCTGTCCATGGGACTGTGTCCTCGTGTGAGAGAGATTGGAAGATCAGATTAGCCTCCTCAAACCGTCCACATCTAGCATACATGTCTAAGAGTGCATTTCCTACTTGAAGTTCTGATGATGCTGTTGTCACAATACACTGGGAATGAATTTGTCTACCCATTTCCAAATTAAGTGTATAAGCTGCAATACTTAACATAGTAGAAAAGGGAAAATTATTCCTATCAAATTTTGTCCCCTGCAAATCCTGGAAAAGTTTAAGAGACCTCTCATAGTTCCCTTCCCTTGCATGGCCGGTTATGATAATGTTGCACGAAACACCATCGATTTCAGTCATTTCGTGGAAAAGTTTCTCAGCTTCCTTTACATGGTCATGTTTTGAATAAAAATCAAGCAAAGCATTGCTAACAAAAACATTCCAAATAAAATTTGTTTTCACCACAAAACCATGAAGTTGCTTGCCAAAAATTATGTCCCCTAACCCAACAGCAGCACTTAAAACTGCAGTAAAGGTGAACTCAGAAGGTCTGAAACCCATTTTCTGCATTGTCAGAAAAAGATCAGCAGCTTCTTCATTTAACTCCACAATTGCATACCCAGTAATCATTGCATTGTAAGTAACAGAATCTCTTTCTGACATTTCATTAAAAAGCCTTAAAGCTAAGTCCAAGCAATGACACTTGCAATAACAACCCAACAAAGTATTGCACACGGCACGAGCTGAACTAAACCCCATTTTTAAAACATGAGCATGTACTTGAATCACTTGGTACATACAATCATTATTGTTGAAACCCGACAACAATGTAGCAAAAGTAACAGAATCCAGCATAGTCATAGACCTATACATATCAACATAAAGCTTAAAAGCGTCCAAAGGGTATCCACGGTTAGCATAACCGCCAATCAAAATGGTCCAAGTAACAGTAGTTCGAGCATACATTCCATCAAACAATTGTCTTGCAGTAACAAGATCACCAGACTTGACATACCCTGAAATCAAGGTGTTCAAAGAGATTACATTTCTGTTAGGCATTTCATCAAACAGTTGGTGTGCTTTGGAAAGTTGACCTGTTTTAATGAGTTTTTCAATCTGGAAATTAGTGCGGCTTGTATTCGGGTCAAAACCCGTTTTGATGATTCGAGCATCAATGACATTTTTGGTGTTGGATGTTTGGGTTCGAATGCAAGAGGATAGTTTGTGGACTGCCTTAGTCCAATAAGTATGGTTCATCATAGACTTGAGCACTGAGTAGTTTGCGACAAATGATTAATCTCAACCTGAGAAACATGCAGCAATGCTGCCACTACTGCAATTTGTTCATCACCACTGTTGCTGCCTAGCAAAATTGAGAAATTCAAATTGGCTCACTTCATTGATAGCATATTAGTTTTTCCAAGGAGGAATTGGGGGTAAATACAAGTTTATCTTTATTTACTCGAAATTAAAGTATATCTCTATCATAATAAACGAGATACTCCATTGAAAAGTTTTAAAAAAGACGGTTTACAATAAGTTATTAAATGGCCATGGTTATGGCCCAATAACACCTTTTCCTCTCTCCTCCTACATTTTCCTCCTGCCTTCAAATCAATACCTATAGTCTATAGTTTTGTTGTGATGATATGATATGATGCAGTAGGAAATTTGTTACCTTCTTACCTCCCTTTATTTTCTTTTAATTTTGTTTTTTCTCTCTCCTCTTGCTCTTCATTATCCCTCTTTCTATCTCCTTTGTTCTTCAATTTCACTCTTGATTCTCTTTCCTCTTTATTTCTCAGTTCTCACCCAACTTCCTCTCTTCTGCTCTCAATTACTCTCTTTTGCTCCCAATTTCTCTTTGTTTTGGCTCAATTTTCACCATTACAAATTCGATTTCTCATTTTTCTAGGCTTTACTCTGCTTTTCGATTCCTAGTTTTAATTTTTTTGCATTTTTCTTTTGATTATGAAGTTCCAAACGATCATTGAAGAAGATTAGTACAAATCCACCACATGCAATATGTTTTTTGAATTGCTTTACAGTATATCAATATAATTTATGTGATTTTGCTATTGTTGAACTTTGATTTTAATTTTTGATTGGTTTCTTTTGTCGTTTTTAGTACATTTTTACTTGTAAATTGTGAAACGAAGAAGACTAGTAATCTAGCTTCAAATAACTGATGGAGATCTATCGTGTATAAAATTTTGTGAAAATAAAAGGGTTACTTTTGTGAGAAAAAGGGTAAATTTTGTAAAAAAAAAGGGTTACTTTTATGAAAATACGAGTCACTTTTTTTAAAAAAAGGGTCACTTTTGTAAAAAAAAAAAGGGTAATTTTTGTAAAAATATTACTGTTCACAAGCGTAAAATGTTTGATGTACAATAAAATTATTGTAAGCCGGGGGCATGCAAAAGTTTTTGGTGTTTTAGGGCCTGTTCTCATTGACTGAACTCAGCTGAACTGAACTGAACTGAAATGAATATTTTATAAGAGAAGAAAATTAGGAGCTGAACTGAACTGAAATGAACTGAGCAGAGCTGTGTTGAACTGAACTAAACTGAACTGAACTGAATTTCAACGTATGAGAACAGACCCTTTATAAGGGCCTTTTTGGTTGAAGGGATTTGGATAAAAAAGAAAAGAAAAGAAATTGTTTTAATCAAATTCTCATGTTTGGTTGAATGAATAAAGGAAAGGAAGAGAAGTGGGAGGAAAGTCTCTTAACAAAATTTTGGCTTTCATTTCCTTCCAAAATTGGAGGAATTTGATAAGAAAGAGAAAAATAAAAGTAATTTCCTTTCTCTTCCCTTTATTTTCTATACATCAACCAAATATTGGAAAATAAAATCACCTTCCTTTCCCTTCTTTTCCTTTCTTTTCCCTTCCCATCCTTTCTCTTCTTTTCCTTTACTAATATTGAACCAAACAAAGCCTAAATGATATAAGTTGATCAATATATAGTTTTACTCAATTAATTAATTTAAATAAAATACTCGAAAAATGTTACGTTAACCCTCAAGGTTACCAATATTATTACATGGCAGTTTATGTGGAAGATTAGGTGGAATAAAAAATAAAACCAAGATTAATAAATGCTTTTGACTTGTTTCCACATTGTTTAATGGAATAATTTGTGTTGGCGAATTAATTGACTTTCTGTTTTTTTTTTTCAATGCTTAAACTTAAATATCTACATTGAGGGAGCCATGATTACTAGTTGTCCCTTATCTACAAAATCACGGAAAAAAAAAAATTCTCATTTATCCCATGTAATGGAAATGGTGGAGCTTTGGAGGAAGGGTTCGTCTATGTAGTTTGGTAGAGCTAAGAAAGAATTTGAGGCATGATTACTAGTTAATAAATTGCAGCCTTTGATTTTAATTCGATCTACCATGCATATATAGTTATTTATTAGTATTTTATTTTTTTTGACACTGTTGAGTTATATTGGTGCTGATGTGGCGAGTTAGTTACAGCTCTTTTTGGAAGCTTCCTCGAGCTTCCTCTGTTAGCTTCTTCTTTTATTTGATTATAAATACTTGTATTCTCTTTTGGCTATAACTTGATGCTCATAATAATAATCATCTTCTAATTTTCTCCCAAAACTTCCTCTCAATTTCTCTCTCTACTTCAAGTTTAATCATGGTATTAGACAACGATCTCTAGTTTTATGATCAATTTTTTAATCGATTTTTAATTCATTCTTCCGTTTGATTCTTTCTCTCTGATTCTTCTTCTTTATCTTCATTGATTTCTTTTCGTTGATTCTTCATTATGAGTTTTTTTGGTCTCAATTTTGACCTAATTCTTTGATTCTTCGATTGATTTTCTCTGTTCTTCCTTCCCTCCATTAATGGTGGGTACAGATAGTTCTCAGCCTTTGAATTCTTCTAGAATCAAATTTAACGACCCTTACTGCCTCAGCAATGGTGATCATCCTGACATGCTTCTTGGGAATCACATTTTGAATGGTTCGAACTTCCTCAATTGGGGACGAACTGTGAAGATGACGTTAATTGCAAGAAATAAGTTCTAATTGTTGATGGATCTCTTCATATGCCTGCTACTACTTCACCTGATTATCAAAAATGGATTTGCAACGACTATATGGTAATTTCTTGGCTTCTTAATTCCATGGATAAAGTTCTTGATGAATCTTTTATGTTTGTGAATTCTTCTTCTCAATTGTGGACCGAGTTGAATGAGCGATTTGGTCATACTATAACTCTCGCATTATTGAGTTGCATCGAACTTTGTCTACGATTCAGCAGAATAATTCTACGGTTGCTGAATATTTTGGTCAATTGAAGGCTGTTTGGGATCAGTTGCAGATGCTTAGAGGTTTTCCTGACTGCACTTGTGGTGCTATAAAGTCTTGTACATGTGGTATTTTCAAGAAAATTTTTGAGAATGATCAACGCAATAAGTTGATGCAATTGTTGTCTGGTCTCAACAAAGATTATGATCAGACCAAGACTAATTTTCTTGGTGCTGATCCTCTTCCTCCTGTGCACAAGGTCTATTACACTTTGCAACAAATAGTGCATTGGCTGTGCTTAAGACTTTTACTGTGACTAGTGCATTGGCTGCTATTAAGACTTTTCCTAAGCCTGTGCTTTCTGGACGGAAAGATTTCAAGAAGCCTAAGACTGATGTCTGGTGTCAGAATTGTAAGAAGAAAGGGCATCCTATTGAGAAATGCTTTAAGATTTATAGATTTCCGGAGTGGTGGAATAAGGATAAATCAGATTCTGCTAATTCTTCTGCAAGTAATGTGGTTGCTGAGAATACTTCTGCTGTAATTCTTGGCAAAGCTCCTGCTGGTGATCAGAATGTTGATCTTGTTCTTGCATCTGCTGTTTACAATCAGGTGCTTCAGATGATGCAGATGAATCATGCTCGTGCACCAGAAGACAATTCATTGGATGGTTATGTGAATTTTGCTGGTATATTTTCTGCTTTTCATTCCAGTTTATCTGTTCAACATTTTGATCATGCTTCTTGGATAGTGGATACTGGTGCTTCTGATCACATGGCTTCTAATTTGGCATTGTTTACCACACTTAAACAACTAAAACATCCAATAAAAGTGTCTTTACCTGATGGAACTGTTAAGTTAGTCAAACACACTGGTTCAGTCTGTCTTACCGAGTCTGTTATTCTCCTAAATGTGTTTTATATTCCAGATTTTAAACACAATCTTTTATCTATTGGCAAGTTGCTTGATCACAGTCATCTTGTTGCCATTTTTGAACAAGATTCTTGTCAATTTCGGGACCCTGCATCTAAAAGAGTTGCTGCTTAGGGTACAAGACAGTCAGGTTTATATACATTTTCAAGTCCAGCTAGGTCTGTCAATAGCTTATCTCCTATTTTTGCTATTGATTCTTTGAATAATATTTCTGGAAATGTAAATAATACGATTACTGCTTTGAAGATAAGCTGCTTAGGGTACAAGACAGTCAGGTTTATATACATTTTCAAGTCCAGCTAGGCCTTAAATAGCAGTTTGAGGGTGCTTGGGTGTTTATGCTATCCTGCCTTGAAGACTGGTGATAAGTTTGCTCCTAGGTCATCTAGGTGTGTTTTCATTGATTATCCATTTAGACAAAAGGGGTACAAGCTTTATGATCTCTCTTCTCATAAAGTGATTCTTAGCAGAGATGTTTACTATTTTGAGAATACTTTTCCTTTAAAGGATAGTTCACAGTCAGTTCAGAATTCCTACATCTGTTCCTTCCTTGGTTAATCCAACCTTGGATGCTTCTATTCCTGCTTTTCCTACTCATGAGTCTTCTTCTTCTAGTTCTTTTCTTCCTCCTTCTTTTCCATCTTCTCCTCATTCAGTTCATAATGAGTTAGATATTGAACATTCCAATTCTGATACTATTTCTCCTCATATTTAGCCTGTTGCACAACCTGTTGTGCCTGAAGTTAGAGTTTCTTCTAGACCTGTTCAATTACCAGCTAAATACAAAGATTTTGTCATGACCAAACCAGTTCATAGAACTATTTCTGACTCAGATTCAGTTTCTTCTGCTTTCAATGTTTATACAAAACCTTCTCTTGCAAATTTGTCTACTTCCAATTTGCATAGTCTTTCCTTAATTCTTTTTGCCTATGAACCATCCACATATAATAAGGCAAAGCAACATCATGAGTGGATTGAAGCTATGGATAAAGAGCTTGAAGCTCTTGAGCAGAGTGGAACTTGGGAGTTAACATCTTTACCTCCTGATAAGAAGACCATTAGTTATAAGTAGGTTTATAAAACCAAATTTAAACAAATGGGGAGGTAGAGAGATGCAAAGGAAGGGTGGTAGCTAGAGGTGATAAACAGGTCTCTGGTAAAGACTATAAACATACTTTCAGCCCAGTTGCCAAACTTACTACTGTAAGGGCTATCTTAGCTTTGGCTGCAGTAAGAAAGTGAGATATACAGCAAATGGACATCAACAATGCTTTCTTACATGGCTTCTTAGAGGAAAAAGTCTATAAGACTACACCTCTTGGGTATACCAAGGCTAAACCTGGGGAAGTGTGCAAGTTAAAAAGGTCCATTTATGGACTTAAGTAGGCATCAAGGTGCTGGAATCAAGAGTTGACCAAGTTTTTAATTGGTTTGGGTTTTATTCAGCCCAAACAAGACAATTCAATGTTTACATTGGATAAAAATGGTTCTTTCACAGTTTTGGTTGCATATGTTGATGACTTATTAGTCACTGGTAGTGATCCTAGTGTGATTACAGACTTGAAGTCAGGCTTGCATTCTGCTTTCATAATAAAGGATTTGGGTTCTCTCAAGTATTTTTTTGGCATTGAGGTATCAAGGTCAAAATATGGTATCTTATTGAACCAAAGAAAGTACATTTTGGATTTGTTAAGGGATCAAAATATGATGGACTGCAAACCTGCTCTCTTTCCTTTTCTTAAAGGTTTAAAGTTGAGTAATTTTGAAGGTGATTTGTTGGAAGATCCTGAATTTTATAGAAGATTGATTGGAAAATTGTTGTATCTCAACATGACAAGACCTGATATTTCTTATGTTGTACAGCAGCTTAGTCAGTTCTTAGCAGCACCGAGGGCTCCACATTTCACTGCAGCATTGAATGTTCTTAGATACTTGAAGGGAACAATTAATCAGGGGCTCTTTTATTCGGCAAATTTTGCTCTTCAGTTATCTGTATATAGTGATTCA